CTATCTCTCTATCGCGTAAAACGATATGTAAAACGTATAAATTTGTTCCTTTAGCCAACTAAGAGGAAATAGTTTTGTTATTTTGTTTGCCACAGAATTGGATCATGCAGATCGCGTTCTCATATTATTTATGAATAAATGCAGTCTTCTGCATGAGAAAAGTTCCATGATAACGTTCCACGATGTTGATTTAATTTTAAAATATATGATTTTAATGAATCATACAAAATTACAAATAAATGAAATCTATTTTAATTACACTTATAATCAAGTTGATATTTCTTGATATTTTCAATTCGTATCAAATTTGCATTAAAATTTACGGGAAAAAATACGGAAAATGCATTTAATATTTGAGCTTCCAGAATGAATTATCTTCTTGTGTTTCAATCTTTCAATACACAATTCTATATTAATATTGATTCATCAAGTATATTCAGCCTCGGGGCTTTAACGGTTCCGACTAAATCTGCGAGGAGTACAATCTAATCTAACTCGATCTATATTTATCGTTTTGCGTCGTTTAAATGTGCCAAATCGGTCGACACGTGTATCGAATTTTATTCAAACGTCTGTTTGCTTTAAATCCTGTGGCAAATTCACACCTTGTATATAACTCATTTAGTTTCACATTTTTTTTTAATAAACATCTCTCTTGAACATCCATTTAAAATTCTGGAAGAGCAAAGATTGCTTGAATTTAAATTTTATTTGAATTAATAATAATGATACGATGAGCGATTAAATAAACTTATGGATTCAATTGGCATTATTATACGTCGTATTATGTCATTGTACACGAGTTCCTTCATTCTATTAATTTCCATCATTTTTCAGAGTCGGTTTTGTTCAATATTATTGTCTGATATTTTCAATATTATTGTTTCAATATCTTTTCCACTTTTGCTATGTTATATTGGGTTTTTCTACGATAATCGTTATTTCTCATTTTCTTTGGAATTTTTTTATGTGTTTAAAACGCAATGTGGCGATCATGAGTACCTTCTTCCGTCCGCAATATGAGAAGAAGGTCGCCAACGCGCCTTAATCTTCGACGTGCCATTATAATCGCCTTTGGCGCTCTCGGGGAGTTCTCGCGTATAGAGGCGGCCAAGTTGAAGGCAAGTTCAACATCCCGCTAATGGTACAGGTTCCCCACCGCGACGGGAAGAGCATTGACGAAGTGGTTGCCGCGGAGAAAAAGAGATAAAGGTCGATCGAACTATGTATCGATAATCTGGGGTGCCGATCAAGAGATCCATGTCACATTTAATTTCCAGAGCTTTGAAATCTTTACCTCTTTTTTTGATTGAATATCATAATCAATGAATAATCATAGACGCGTTCCATCAAAGTGATTTAAATCCTTTTTATCTATTAACAAAGTATGTATTGATGAATAATATTGTAATTCGTGTGATATACCAGCTGTTATTTTTCTTTCATCAAATACATGTAATTTGTATTTTATCAATATTTTTTAGCAAATTTAACTTTTCGATTGTGTATATGCGTGTGTGTGATTCTATTTCTTAAATAATTAAAAGTTATATTAAATATATATTTAAATAAATATATAAAATCATAATACATAATTAAATTATGTAATTTAATATTATATTAATTAATTTAATATATTAATAAATTAATTTATTATGTATAATTAAAATATATAATTAATTAATTAATTATATATCGGGCAGTTTACAATATTATTATTATTTAAAAAATTTTTTAATATTATTAATATTTAAAAAATTTTTTAAATGACAAGAAAATTAAAATAAGCATACATTAATTATTTGATTATATAATGTAATTTTTTAGTATCATATATTTTATTTATATAATTTATTACTAACGTTTACTAATTACATATAGTAGAAAAATGTCTCCACACGCATACACAAATTTGTGATTATATCTGAGTGAAGTGATCTTGATTAATTTTTATTAATTCTTCGTGTTATTAATTGTTTCCATTTTATTTCACGAGAGGAAAATCGATATTCAAGGAATGCTGATCGACTGTTGGCAAGGAATTTAGTTCGAAATGTGACGAAATGGCAACGCGTGATTTCATGGAAAGAATCGAGCTTTTTTCTCGTCGAATAATGCGAAGATTAATTGGGTCAGTCGTACGATCTTTTCTTAACGATCATTCAATAACGATCACGATGCGTGTATCGTACGCACAATTATAAATAACTGTACGAATGTCGCACTTTCATCTTCTTAATTCACCGTCAGACTAGTTGCTCAACAAAATCCAATATTACTATTCGATTGCGCAACCGAGTTTGCTTATCTCGTCGAAAAAGCGCTTCCGACGTATTGTAATTTTGCGTGTTCGATTTCAACCGCAGATCTCAATCACACCATTGTTAACATTTATTTATGCAAATCTGCAGGTTTCACTTAAACTGATAATCGCGCGATAATCTCGATAACTTCTCTCAAATATTGTCACTTTTTTTGGATCAGTCTTTTCACTTTCATAACAATAAAGCCTATTTTTCTAGTTATTTAATAAATCGCATTATTTATCATTAATGTAATAATTATTTTTATCGCGCGCGTATATTATTCAATTACCTAGCAGTTTGTGCAGCTATGTTAAAATTATCGAGAAAGAATGTAGGTTTTCATTATGATGAATTTACGGTTAATAAAGCAACATCGCCGATTAAGCAGAGAAAGAAACTTGTCCACTGGTCGAAAAGGGTTTATGATAAAAGAGAAGAAAAGGAAACGCCGGATGACGTCATGATAGTCATTCGCGCCACTTAGCGAAGTCAAGGGATCAATTTACCATATGAATGGTCTCTCTCTTTCTCTCTTTCTCTTTCTCTCTCTCTATTTGCCTCTCCCGAACATTCCATCCTTCAGCCTCGAAACTTCTTTCCGCTTTCGTTCACCTATCGCTCGAATTGATGACGAATGAATCTATCACATGATAACAGATCAAATTGTATAACACGTTGAGTAACACGTTAAGTAATAAGAGCTTATGTTGTCTTTTCCATTCATTCTTGATAATCTCAGATGCAATTGTATCAATCAAACTAGTGATTACAATATTTTATTTAAAAAAAAGTATGGGAAAATTTATTGTAAAAATGAAAAAAAAAATACATATATATATATATATATATATATATATATATATATATATATGTTTAACATGTGCACGTAAAAACATAAAATTATATGCACGTAAACGTTTGTATTTATTTATGAATCATATATGTGTGTAGATATTTCTTGTTAAACATTAATGATAAAACTAAAAAACATTAATGATAGTGAATGAGAAGTTTGTATTTGACATTATCATTAATGACGAATGAAAATAGTGTTTTTTGCAATTATTTAGTATAATCTCTTTATAATCGCGTACAATTAATAAAATTAGTCTGCAGAGACTGACACTTATGCTGAGAATGAAGGCTCATTTTTTAGTTTATTCAATGATTATTTTCACGTGAGATAGAATGGAAACGAAAATCAAAATATTTGCAGCTCCGAGAAAAGAAGAAGCAAATTATCACAATTTCAATAAGAAGTAGTAACGTTTATATCGCATTTAAAAAAATGAAGATTTAACTTGATTCTCTTATGGTTTATTTTTATTATAGAGTTATTGATCTTTCTTTCTTTCATTAACATCTATATCGAGAAAGATCAACCTCGTCTTCTCATGTGCACGATCCCCACATTTTCTCAGCATCGTCCAGTGAAAATCATAAGAGCGAATATTTTAAATCTCTCTTTGACGTGTATCGATTATTTAATTTGATGACGCGAGAAATATATAATATGAAATGACTTGTAAATAAATAACTAGCAAGTTATTTATTTGACAAATTTGTGAAAACATATCATTGAAAAAATTTTTCTCAACTTTTACTTCACAACTCCAGAGGTAAAATTTACACTATTATTGCGCAATTTATACATGTCGCAACGTTATGCCAGTCGATACTTGATAAATGAAGACCCGTGACTTATCACGCGACCAATATTTTATTCTCGTCGCCAATCGATTGTACATAGGAGGAGCGTATAAATGGTGACGAGAACGAGATATTCTAACATCTCATGTTTCGATTGCTCCTCGACATTATTTTATCATCAATCATAAACCCTAAGCATATGTGCGAAATCGGCAATTATATATTAATTGCGTCAATGTTAAGGAAAGAGAGAGACAGACAGACAGACAGAGAGAGTGAAAAAGAGCGAGAGAGAGAGAGAGAGAGAGAGAGAGAGAGAGAGAGAGAGAGGAGCAAAGGGAGAGGGGATTACGAAAATCGACGTGAGCAGTGCTATTATTTAACCTTTAAATAACTAGGCAGTGTCAAAAAAATAAATAAGATATATTCGATTCGGCAAAATGCTAACACGTGTTGACCAACGGGAGCATTGTTGGCAAGGACATTTAACACTTGTCAGAGGCATAAAATTAGATTTTCATTCTTTGGCATTTTCACGCGGACATTGCTCACCATTTCGTTCTTGAATCTTAACAGCTCTTGTGCTTTTAATTATAAATTTCTACATTTTATTGCACGTTGCAGCTACAAATATATGTAGAGAAAAATATATAAATTTATGTACATAAAAAGTGTGACTGAAATTTTTTTCCGTTGTAAACAAAAGGAAAAATATTCAAAAGCAATAGTTTTAGAATTAAAAGATTGAAATTGGAAGATTTTTAGCAGAAAAAAAAGATTTGTAGCAGAATCATGTAAAGAAAAATTGTTGACCTTTAGAAAGAGCTTAAAGAGATATAATGCAAAAAAATTATTTGTCTTATTCTTTTTCTTATTATTTGTCTTTTTCTTATAGTCGAAACAGGTCGTAAAATAATAGCAAATATCATTATTAATGGGTTGAACTCTGCTGGTCTTATAATCGTCAAGTAACTTATTTACGATACTTGTTACGATATGTTTTACATCAGATGAATTGATGATTCTCCTTTATTCTCTTTCTAGATCATCTCTTGGACATAGGAAAAAAGTGGTAGAGAGCGACGAACACAGAGAAAATCTCGCCGATAAGACGAGGTGGTGGTTGTAAATTATTTGTCTTTTGGAAAACATGAGTCCGCGTGTCGTGGCGATAAAATAATCGCGGTGTTTACGTTTGCGAGTGTGAGAACTGGTGTTAAGTCGGGGAGAGATCCGGATGGTGCTCCGCAGTGGATACTAAATATCTCGGTGGATATACTACTACTTAAGAGTGTAGCATATGGCCCTGGACTATGGTACTACCATTTACAATATGCACCACACGAATCAACTAGGTACGTATCAAAGAACGTGTGCTTAGCGATGTTAAACAATTTTTTTTCGGGTCTTTAAAAAGATCTTTTCGCAAAAAAATGTTTTTAAACAATTTTTGCTTTTTACATATAAAGCTCTTAAAGAAAGACTAAATCATTTTTGTCATTTTCTTTTACAAATATGTATCTTTATTTTCAATTCTTATTATTTTCGATTCTACAAATTGAAAAATAATTAAATACATTACGTATAATATTGTATTAATAAATTTAATATTATTTTTTGAATAATTAATTGTAATAATTAATTAATTTACATAACTATAAAATAAATTGAATAACTCAACTAAATAATTAAATATTTTAATTATTATTTAATATCGTGTACACATACGATAATATAAATATTAATATTATTTATTGAACATGATTTAAAACATAATTAGTACCTTTATTACTTTATTTTCATTAAAAAAAATATATAAAAATTCTCTCTTTTATAAAATTCTAAAATTAATGTTAGATAAATTGTACATTTATCTGATAAGTTATAAAGTTTTATTCAATATTTATATTTCTTTTTTATTCATAGTTTTTTATTTTAAAATCTAAATAAAATTTTTAATCTTTTACTGTAGCCACATTGAATTATAATATCAGAAACAAGAAGTCTTGTGAATTTTTTTGACATTATACATTAGGTAATTCAATTTTTCTTGCTATTACTACTATTTGTTCTAATAATGTACAAAATACATCGAAAATTCCCTTTTTTATTTATTTTTTTTAGTAAATTTCAATCTACATAATTTTTTAGCAAAATTTAATTTACGTATATTTTATACATGGTTTTTATATTTTCATCGAAAGAGGGTCTTACAATTAATCTCAACATTTACAGTTATTTATTAATAATGAATGAACTAAAGGAGTTGTGTTGATATATTTAATAATCTATAATATCGAACACGATTTGTAGCGTACAAAAAAGGTGATTATTCAATCTGGTTGCAGCAAAAGATTAGCGGTTTGATTTTGCCTTTACGCCTAAAAGTTTAAAATAAATTAAGCTGTTATAAAAAGAAGTCGATTTAAAGTTCGCTCGACGAAGCGGAAGAGGCATGAGCACACGTATGTAGTAAGTTCATGTTTTAAGAGACGATATAAATGTCATTCTATATATAGCGAGTTTTCGTCTAATCTTAGCAATCGGCCACCAGCCAGAAACAAAAACAAAAAATGCACCTATGACTTTTCCTTTATATCTTAGTCGTTGGAATAAAAGATTTAGTTCCACATAAAGTACTTCATCATTGTACCGATTAAATCTTAATCTGTAAATAAACGCGCTCTAATTTTAAAATTTTCTGTTTTCACACACACACATAAGTTATTTATATATTTGTTTTCGACTTAAAAAGATTACATTTGTTTTCGACTTAAAAAGATTACATCCAAATCTGAAAAGATACATTGTTTTTATTCCTATTAAAAATATAAAAAGATAAATTATTTTTATTTCTGTTAAAAATATAAAAACTAGATGTTTTTGTCTATAAAATTATTTTTAAATTATTCAGAGGAAAAAAAGCATGCGGGGTCGATATGAATATTATAAAACTTTATTAATCATTGACAATTGTTATATAAAGCTGAAACGCGAAATTCAATATCTATAAATATATTATTCCCATTTTTGCACGTATTTAGATTTCTGATTATTTTTTATAACATACACACACACACACACATACATATATCTTTCACATCAATTATATATATAATTGATATAAAAGATACTAAGGTCACTGGATCAATGAAACTAGGGCTTTCTTTGATCTATAATACTATAGAAGAATTTCTGACACCATAATCTACCGGCTATAACCCATTATAGTATCGAACGACCTACCTTTTTTCTGACTCGGCTAAAGCGGCGAACATAATTTTCCTCGCGTGACAGGACTATCCCGAATCGTTTAATTATGCAGCCAACGTCGCGCATGCAATTGCAAAAAGATTATAATAGTTGTTGCAATGCGATGTTCCGAGAACAGTCGCTATATCTGGGTGACGGGAAGCAAATGACCGTTATAATTGCGAATTTATAAAGCTCTTGTGGATTTTACAATAATTATATATGTGTGTGTGTGTGTGTTATTTATAAAGTATTACATTATGCATTTTAATCCTCGACAAAACTTTTGGCACGTAAACAAATTTAAAAATTGTAACGAAAAGTTCTTTCTATATATTTTTTACAAAGAGATGAGTAAAAGTGAAGTAATATTGTGCATTAAACGAAAATGAAACTATCTTGACAAGAGAATCACTCTTTTTGTCATTCTAGCTGATTTATTCATCAGCTGATTTACGAGATACATCAGTGTAATTTATACATCTGAATATTATTTCTCTCTCTCTCTCTCTCTTGTGTCAATTTTGTATTTATATAGCTGCATACACACATGAGAATCGAATTGCGCTGAAGTTTACCTAGCATACACTGACTTTTTTTTATTCTCCAATAATAGACTTGCTGTCAGGTTATTGTTATGGATATCCGTATATGTTTTAAAACATTTATTTTCTCGTGTTACATGGGTTTGAAGTATCATTCCGTCGTCTAAGAATTTGATTTGATTTTATTTGTGCTTTATTATTTATTCACAATGCGCATTAAATTTATCAAAAATTATTTCTCTTTTTTAAATTTAATCTCACTTTTTTCTAATGAAAATATCGAATTTTTTTTATCGGAACGCGCGACTTTTCAATTTAAATCTTAAATGTTTTCGAACTGTTTGTATTAACTATTATATTCGAACTAACACATAATAAGTAAGATTGCTATAAATTTAAAATTAACGGGGAAAATATGCGCAAACTTCATTAATTTACTTTACTATTTATTAAATACATGACTTTTTATGCTACGAGAAATGAAATAAAGTATCGGTATAATTTTGGCGGATCTGTTAAATTATTTATCTATTTGCACCAAGGCCGAGCTCTATCTTCGCCAGTCTTTTGCAAATGGCTACGTTTTGCCATTCTTTCATTTGCCGACTTTGCCGACACGGTTAATATACGTGTACGCGATCGTGAAGATAATCGGGTCGAGAATGGCGAGAAATCGTGCGTGAAAATTAGATGGCAAACGAGCGGATGGTTCCTTGCATGAAGCGCGCATCGAAGTCGATGACGGGATCGCTGCCAGAGAATCGTGGTTTCACTCGCCAGAATTATCAGTAAGTTGGATCATCGTAGTACAGAATGCATAGAACTCACGAAGCTTCAATCCCTCTCAATAATAAATAGTGATAATAGAAATGTTATTTGAATTATTTATTATTTAGTATCTTTTAATTGTACTTTGAATGTTATTGACAACAGTTGCTTTTTTTCCAAATTTTACAACTCTAAGATAGAAATTTGAAATAATTTACATGCAAATTTGTTGTAGAATTTTACAGTTTCAAGATAGTCCTTTTTTATATTATAAAATTAAATTAATTTTTTAAAATTAAGTCAACAATAAAAATAAAAAATATAATAATAAAAATTGAGATAAGGATGATCTACTTGTGTGTCGGGAATTGTATTTTTATTATGGACAAGAATTTTTTTTTTTTTTTAAGAAGTGAATACTGTTTCTTGTCACGCGATATATTGAATTTCTTTTGCTATCGACAAATCGATTAAAATAGCATCTCAATACCTTTCTGCTTCTTATAATTAATGACAAGCTTATCGACATTTTTTTTTTTTCCTTCAAGAAAAAGATAGACTCTGACTTTCTGCGAACTGTGGGATGAGAATGATCGAACACCATGTCTGGATGGGTATGAAATTTATTGTAATCAGTAGTTAGGCGGCGTTTAAGTGCGTACATCCGGAGAGGACATTTTGTAGGAGGTTGCTCGTGCGGCGCAATTACCTTAATTAATGTGGGCCCTAATTGTCTTTACCAGTAGTCGACGCATTGCGCATGACCGGCGAGATATGAGAAGAGACGCGAGTTGCATTAAATAAAATCTACCGGCGCGAGAGATACAAATAACATGATATTGCAACGCGGCGAAGAGATGCACTTTAATGCAAGTCGATGCGACTTTTTGAATCTTTCGTATCCACTAAATCGAAAATGCACAGTCGCTCGGGGTAATCCCTACTCCAATCGTTTTAAATACGTTTAAATAAAAAGTGTAAATCAATTATATTTCATTTAATTATATTTTAATTATATTTTTTTAGATTAAAATTCGAATATTTTGAGATCTCTTTTAGTCGACCTACATATGTAACTCAATTTAAAAATACAAAACGTGCGCAGGTATATTTTCACCATAAATAAAATCACATTAAAATATATTAATATAAGAGATCGCATTATATATACAGAGCTCGAAAGCGAGCTGGCGGAATTAATCTCTTGGAAGCATCAGCGAAATTCACCGCGACCACTAATGGTTTAGCGAAAGCGAAACCTTACGCAGCATTGCGAGAAGTCTCGCTGGCAAAATTGCGGCTCGTCCGTCGATTCCGGCATAGCGTGCCAATTTTCACGGGGACGTGAGATCGAGGCACGCGAGTCGCGTGACTCGCAGGCGTGCAAACTCCAAGTCGCGCAATTTGTCCCGCACGCGCGAATTGTACGCCATGTATACACTTTGCGCAATCGATCGCGTTCTTATTCCAAGATTCTAGTCACCATTCTCTCGTCGTACACTTGTTTTACAGAATTTTTTTGGATAAAGGATAAGCTTGAAAGAAGTGTATTTTAAGCGGAATTCATATAATTGTTGATACCTTCTACTGTATATTATTTTTTCCTGGAATAAAAATGTTATTACTCAAATTCAATTTAATGAAATCGTCACGTGAGATGTGTCAAGAAGAGTTATTTTTTCTCCCTGCATCGAGAAAAATCTGTAATCGCAATAACATTAAATATAAACGATCAAAGGCAAATGAGAGTCAGCGCAGGTTTTTTATGCGCATGTATTATATAATCACAC